GGCCAATGCCGATCCTTGCTGATCACATGACCACCGATCAATGACTATTATAAGCGCTGTGTAAATTGATGGCGCTATATAAGTACCTGTAATAAATAAATAAATTATACGTTGCAAGATTGACCCAAAAACTCCGGTGCTGTCAATAATCTATCCACCAAACTCAGGATCAGGCTCCGTTTGCTCCAAAGCCGTATGATTTCCAGCGTGACTTTGATGCGTCGCACCAAAGTAGCGCAGGAACCTTTTCAAGGTCATTGCGACATTAAGTCCCATAGATCGGAAGCGGCGCCGTTGAAGTCAATGGGCTGAGATTTGTAATGCCAAGGTAGAGAAATGTCACCGGCGCACCCAAGGAGCTCCAACGTGGGTCCATAAAGGCTTCATTGAAGGGTTACAGCAAGTCAACGTTTCGGCGTCTCGTAGGACCCCTTCATCAGGAATCGTCACATGCCTGATGAAGGGGCCCTTCGAGACTCCGAAACGTTGTCTTGCTGTAACTATGTAAACCTTCGATAAAGCCTTTTACGGACCCACATTGGGGATCCTTGGTGCGCCGGTGACATTTCTCTACCTTGACTCGTTCCATCCGCCCACCTACATGTACCACCATTTCTTGCAGGAAAGTTTTGCTTTGGGATCGCGCATTTACTTACGTCTCCAAAGTCCCGCAGCAAGTTGCACTGGCGTGAAGAGAGCCTAAGATATAAAATGTAAAATAGAACAAAATTTAAAACACCTGAGCTGCTGCAACCACCCAAATCTGTTCTTGCCCACATGGAAGAAAAAATATATTTTAAATATATTTTTAAAATATTCTTCCCAAATATATTGACATAAATACTACAATTTTAGCCGTAATCAATATATGTAAAAATATATTTCAATAAATATATATTAATATATTTTAAAATATATATATATATATATACATATATATTAAAATATGTATATATATATATACACACAGTATATATATATATATATATATATATATATATATATATATGGCCGTATTCAATATATTTAAGAATATATTTCAATATATATATGTATATATATATATATATACATTTATTGAAATATATTTTTAAATATATAGATAGATAGATAGATAGATAGATAGATAGATAGATAGATATGTTGAAATGAGTTTTTATTACGAAATATATGAAACATATTTTTAAAATTACATTTTCAAATATGCTGTATGTCCTTAAAAGTACAAATCTACATTTTTGGAATGCATTTACAAATATTTGTAAAAAATATATGTTAAAATGACTTTTTTATATGTTGCAAAAAAAAAAAATCTGAAGAACATATTTAAAAAAATATATATTTTTAAAAATATATTTAATATATTTTGTAATATAATGTAAAAAAACGCATTTCAACATGCAGTATGTGTATATATATATATATATATATATATATATATATATATATAAATATTTATTTCATCCCTGGCCATGCAGGATCTTCTGCATGGTAGGGGTTGGGGAAAGATCTGGCAACCTACCTAAAATAATTGCTAAGAGAATTCATGGAAAAAGTCACTTACGAATGACGGTCAATGCAATCGCCAAGAGTTGGATACGACTGAATGGATATATATATATATATATATATATATATATATATATATATATATATATAAAGAAATATATTGAATATGACCAAAATTTTTGTATTTCAAATATATGTCCATATGTTTGGGAAAAATATTTTTAAAATATGTCTCAAATATATTTTTCTTCCAACCAACAGAAGGTAATAATTGTAGTATTTCAAATATATGTCAATATGTTTGGGAAGAATATTTTTTAAAATATATTTCAAATATATTTTTCTTCCAACCAACAGAAGGTAATAAATTAGTAAATAGTATTTCAAATATATGTTGATATGTTTGGGAAGAATATTTTTTTTAAAATATATCTCAAATATATTTTTCTTCCAACCAACAGAAGGTAATAATTGTAGTATTTCAAATATATGTCAATATATTTGGGAAGAATATTGTTAAAATACATTTCAAATATATTTTTCTTCCAGCCAACAGAAGGTAATAACAGAAGGTAATAATTGCAGTATTTCAAATATATGTCAATATGTTTGGGAAAAATATTTTTAAAATATGTCTCAAATATATTTTTCTTCCAGTCAACAGAAGGTAATAATTGTAGTATTTCAAATATATGTCAATATATTTGGGAAGAATATTTTTTAAATATATTTCAAATATATTTTTCATCCAGCCAACAGAAGATAATAATTAATGGTGTTGCGCTGCTCTCAGTGACTGAGAACAGTGCAACACCATATTTACGTGGCAAAAACGATCCTTCATAAATTCATGCAGATTACTACTAAAGCTTCTATTATCATGTGCAAATTCTCTGATATAGTCCCTTAACATCCCCTCCAATAGTTTACATACTATCGATGTTAGACTGACTCCCTTAACATCCCCTCCAATAGTTTACATACTATCGATGTTAGACTGACTCCCTTAACATCCCCTCCAATAGTTTACATACTATCGATGTTAGACTGACTCCCTTAACATCCCCTCCAATAGTTTACATACTATCGATGTTAGACTGACTGGCCTTTAGTTTCCAGGTATATCTCTTTGCCCCTTTTCTAAATATTGGTACCACGTCTGCCTTTCTCCAATCCACTGTTAACATTCCCGTCCTAAAGCTGTCCATAAAAATCAGGAATAACAGTCTGGCTATAACCATCCAATAATATTTTCTGTGATAAATGACAAGTGTCGTGTTTGTAAAAATTTTTGAAATGGAACTATTCTAGCCCAATAAATTCAAACTTTAAACACGTTTGCTCACAACGCAAGAAACAAAATGCTGTAACCCAACGAATCGGAATTTGCTGCCGAGCCAGGGTGAATTCTGATTGGTTCACTTTGACCATAGGGCAAAAAAAATAACAAAAAGGCATGATTTAAAAACCTTAATCAAATCGTATAATATATAATTTTTTTTTTCAAAAATGCATAATGGGGCCAACATTTTTTTCTGACTTTTTGCTAATTTTTTTTCATTTTTTTATTTGGTTTCTTTGCCTTTTAAGGCTTGACTACAAAATGAATCACCAATTTAGATTTTGATCTTGATCCACTGGCTTTTGTTTTAGCCAACATTTTTTTCTGACTTTTTGCAAATTTATTTATTTTTTTTATTTTTTTATTTCTTTGCCTTTTAAGGCTCGACTACAAAATTAATCACCAATTTAGATTTTGACCTGTTTTTACCTTGAACCACCAGCTTTTGTTTTAGCCAACATTTTTTTCTGACTTTTTGCAAATTGTTTTAAATTTTTTTTTGGTTTCTTTGCCTTTTAAGGCTCGACTACAAAATTAATAACCAATTTAAATTTCGATCTGTTTTTACCTTGAACCATCGGCTTTTGTTTTAGCCAACATTTTTTTCTGACTTTTTGCAAATATTTTTTTTTTTTTTTTCAGTTTCTTTGCCTCTTAAGGCCCGACTCCAAAAATTAATAACCAATATAAATTTCGATCTGTTTTTACCTTGAACCATCGGCTTTTGTTTTAGCCAACATTTTTTTCTGACTTTTTGCTAATTTTTTTTAAATTTTTTTTTTTTTGATTGGTTCACTTTGACCATAAGGCAAAAAAAATAACAAAAATGCATGATTTAAAAACCTTAATCAAATCATATAATATATAATTTTTTTTTTCAAAAATGCATAATGGGGCCAACATTTTTTTCTGACCTTTTGCAAATTTTTTTTTCATTTTTTTATTTGGTTTCTTTGTCTTTTAAGGCTCGACTCCAAAAATTAATAACCAATTTAAATTTCGATCTGTTTTTACTTTGAACCACCAGATTTTGTTTTAACCAAGAAGATGAGGCATATTATATTCTATACTATATACGTTTATTTTTTACAAGTTGTCCTCTTTGAAACTGCAGTGATATTCATGAGATGGCTGTACATTACCGACCCATAAATACTTTCTTCTCTTGTATCCCCTGTTAAATTGTACATTGCTGGAAAGTGAAAACAGTTGTAAATGTCTGGATTTAATTTCGATGTTTTAGAGAAAAGAAAAAAAAAAAGATGTTTTTTTGGAACAACTTGATGCTTGTTCCAATTCCCTCTGGGTTGTATATTGCTTCTGTTATGTTTCTAGGTAAATCTGTGCATGACCGGTGGGCTAGCCGTCATTGTGTCTGTTTGTGAATTTTTTTTAAAGAGGAAAATCAAAAAAAAAAAAAAAAAAAGATAATAAAAAAAAAAATTCTGTAGATGCACTTACTGTATATGTGATTAGGTTCTTTGTCCAGGACTTGATGCTTCGGCTGCCATTGATAGAGAGGGCGGCTGTTAATATGAAAATTTTAAATCGCTTATGTGGAAAAAAAAAATATAAAGAAAATGATATGAAGTGTAGAAAAAAAAAAATACAAAAAGCGATTTTTTTTTTTTTTTTTTGTGGGGAGGGAAAAAAAAATCTTTTTTGATGCTTGTGAGAAAAAAAAAAGACAAATGTACTTGAGTAGAGAAATTCCTTAAGATAATGAATAAGAAAAGCTGATTTTGAGTTTAATGCTGTAGAATAGGAATGTATACCAAATGTAATCTTTCCAATGCTACAATGAATTTATACATGAGATTGATATGCAATAAACCTGTGTGCTTTTTTAAAAGCTGCTCCTTTTTTTTTTTGTTGATTTGATCAAAAAACGTAATTATTGAATTTATTTTTATTAAACACATTACAAAAAAAAAAAAAAAAAGATGGAGGTTGATTTACTAAAACTGGAGGGTGCAAAATCAGGTGCAGCTCTGCATAGAAACCAATCAGCTTCCAGGTTTTATTGCCAAAACTTAATTGAACAAGCTGAGGTTGGAAGCCAATTGGCTACCGTGTACAGCTGCATACATATACTGTATATACGCTATATTGCCAAAAGGATTGTCCCCGCCCTCCAAGTCATGTGATTCAGGTGTTCCAATCCCCTCCAAATCATGTGATTCAGGTGTTCCAATCCGCTCCAAATCATGTGATTCAGGTGTTCCAATCCCCTCCCAATCATGTGATTCAGGTGTTTCCAATCCCTTCCAAATCATGTAATTCAGGTGTTCAATCCCCTCCAAATCATGTGATTCAGGTGTTCCAATCCCCTCCCAATCATGTGATTCAGGTGTTCCAATCCCCTCCCAATCATGTGATTCAGGTGTTCCAATCCCCTCCAAATCATGTGATTCAGGTGTGCCAATCCCCTCCAAATCATGTGATTCAGGTGTTCCAATCCCCTCCCAATCATGTGATTCAGGTGTTCCAATCCCCTCCAAATCATGTGATTCAGGTGTTCCAAGCCCCTCCAAATCATGTGATTCAGGTGTTCCAATCACCTCCCAATCATGTGATTCAGGTGCTCCAATCCCCTCCATGGACACAGGTGTATACAATCAAGCCCCTAGGCATGCAGACGGCTTCTACAAACATTGGTGAAAGAATGGGTCGCTCTCAGGAGCTCAGTGACTCCAAGCGTGGTCCCGTGATAGGTGGCCACCTGGGCAATAAGTCCATCCGTGACATTTCCTGGCTACTAAATATTCCACGCTCAACTGTTAGTGGGATTATAACAAGTGGAAGCAACTGGGAACAACAGCAACTCGGCCACCAAGTGGTAGGCTACGTCACATGACAGGGTGGGGTCAGCGCATGCTGAAGTGCACAGTGCGCAGAAGTCGCCAACTGTCTGCAGAGTCAATAGCTAAAGACCTTCAAACTTGGTGTGGCCTTCAGATGAGCCCAACAACAGTGCGTAGAGAGCTTCATGGAATGGGTTTCCATGGCCGAGCAGCTGCATCCAAGCCTTACATCACCAAGTGCATTGCAAAGTGTCTGATGCCGTGGTGTAAAGCACGCTGTCACTGGACTCTAGAGCAGAGGAGACGTGTTCTCTGGAGTGACCAATCACGCTTCTCTGTCTGGCAACCCGATGGACATGTCTGGGTTTGGTGGTTGCCAGGAGAACGGTACTTGCCTGACTGCATTGTGCCAAGTGTAAAGTTTGGTGGAGGGGGGATTATGGTGTGGGGTGTTTTTCAGGGATTGGGCTTGGCCCCCTAGTTCCAGTGAAGGGAACTCTTAAGGTGACATTTTGGACAATTTCATGCTCCCAACTTTGTGGGAAGAGTTTGGAGATGGCCCCTTCCTGTTCCAACATGACTGCCCACCAGTGCACAAAGCAAGGTCCATAAAGACATGGAGGAGCCAGTTTGGGGTGGAGGAACTTGACTGTCCTGCACAGAGTCCTGACCTCAACCCCATAGAACACCTTTGGGATGAATTAGAGTGGAGACTGCGAGCTAGGCCTCCTCCCCCGACATCAGTGCCTGACCTGACCAATGTGCTTCTGGAAGAATGGTCCAACCTTCCCATAGACACCCTCCTAAACCTTGTGGACGGCCTTCCCAGAAGAGTTGAAGCTGTTATAGCTGCAAAGGGCGGGGCCAACTCAATATTGAACCCTACGGACTAAGACTGGGGGGCCATTAAAGGTCATGTGTGTGGAAAGGCCGGCCGACCAATACTTTTGGCAATACAGAGTATATATATATATATATATATTGATCCAACATAACATTAAGACAACCCATCTAATATTGAATAAGTCTTCCTTTTGTAGCCAAAACAGCCCTAACCCATCAAGGCATGGACTTCACTAGACCTCTACTATCAGATCCTTTAAGTCATGGGTGCTCTACCTGTGGCCCTCCAGATGTTGCGGAACTACAAGTCCCAAGATGTATTGCAAGGCTGACAGTTATAAGCATGACTCCCAAAGGCAGAGGCATGATGGGACTTGGAGATCTGCAACAGTTTGAGGGCCACAGGTTAAGCACCCATGCAGGGGCGGACTGACAACTCATGGGGCCCCCGGGCAATAGGGGATCATGGGGCCCCTGTGTCCTTGCCCAAACTCAAAAAAGCCTATGAAAAAGGTACCAGGGGCATCTCATGGGTCCCCCTATTGACCCAGGGCCCTCGGGCAGTGCCCGAATTTCCAAATGGTCAGTCCGCCCCTGCATCCATGCTTTAAGTCTTGGGAGGTGGGGCCTCCATTAATCGGACTTGTTTTTCCAGCACATCCCACAGATGCTCAATTAAACTGAGATCTGGAGAATTTGGAGGCCAAGTTGCCGTGTTCCTCAAACCATTCTGGAGTTATTTTTGCAGTGTGACAGGGCGCATTATCCTGCTGAAAGAAAGCCACTGCCATCGGGGAATACCATTTCCATGAAGGGGTGGACTTGGCTACCAGCAATGTGTAGGTAGGTGGTACGTGTCCGGTAACATCCACATGAATGGCAGGAGTCAAGGTTTCCCAGAAGAACATCTCCCAAAGCATCACACTGCCTGTGCCGGCTTGCCTTCTTCCTGATGCCATCTCTTCCCCCGGTAAGTGACACACATGGCCATCCACATGATGGAAAACAAAATGTGATTCATCAGACCACCTTCTTCCATCGCACCGTGGTCCAGTTCTGATGCTCATGTGACCATTGTAGGTGCTTTTGGCTGTGGACACGGGTCAGCATGGGCACCCTGACCCGTCTGCAGCTACTCAGCCCCATACACAACAAACTGTATTGTCCATGTCTTCTGCTTTCAATGCATCAACTTCAGGGACAACATGTTTACTTGCTGCCTAATATATCACACCCACATTCAGATGTCGTTGTAACCAGATAATCGATGTTCTCCACTTTACCTGTCAGTGATTTGAATGTTATTGCTGATTGGTGGAATATACAGTATATACCAGGGGCGGACTGACAACTCATGGGGCCCCCGGGCAACAGGGGATCATGGGGCCCCCTTCCAATAGGGGATCATGGGGCCCCCGGGCAACAGGGGATCATGGGGCCCCCTTCCAATAGGGGATCATGGGGCCTCTATCTCCTTGCCCACACTCCACACCCAAAAAAAGCCTATGAAAGGTACCAGGGGCATCTTGTATCTCATGGGGCTCCCTTCTGACCCCGGGCCCTCGGGCAGCGCCCGAGTTCCCAAATGGTCAGTCCACCCCTGGTATATACATAAATCTATACATATATATATATATAATGTAATAATACATTTGTATATACTCTTTAACCCCTTGGCACCGGCGCCTTCTGGCCCTTTAAGGGTTTCAGAAGCTGGGAGGTGGGGCAGAGTTTAGGGTCCTGTGACCGCCAAGACACGCCATCACATGATCGGGAAAGGTCCTGATCAAAAGAGATCAGGACCTTTCCGTGAGTACCTGACATGTGTGCTGGGCGCACGCTCTCAGCACATATGTTCTTTTTTAATAGAACGCAAATGTGCGGCCGCTCAGTGTCTACGCCCAGATGCCGGGAGGCCACACATTTGCGTTCGGCCGGCGTGAAGACGTTAAAACACATTAATATATATATTTGTATGGGCAGTCCCTAGATTATGAACAAGATATGTGTGTAAGGTGGAAATACACTATATTACCGAAAGTATTGGGCCAGCCCTCCACATCACCAAGTGGTAGGCCACGTCACATGACAGGGCGGGGTCAGTGCATGCTGAAGCGCACAGTGCGCAGAAGCCGCCAACTGTCTGCAGAGTCAATAGCTAAAGACCTCCAAACTTGGTGTGGCCTTCAGATGAGCCCAACAACAGTGTGTAGAGAGCTTCATGGAATGGGTTTCCATGGCCGAGCAGCTGCATCCAAGCCTTCCATCACCAAGTGCAATGCAAAGCGTTGGATGCCGTGGTGTAAAGCATATCGCCACTGGACTCTAGAGCGGTGGAGGCGTGTTCTCTGGAGTGACCAATCACGCTTCTGTCTGGCAATCCGATGGACATGTCTGGGTTTGGTGGTTGGCAGGAGAACGGTACTTGCCTGACTGCATTGTGCCAAGTGTAAAGTTTGGTGGAGGGGGGATTACGGTGTGGGGTTGTTTTTCAGGGGTTGGGCTTGGCCTCCTAGTTCCAGTGAAGGAAACTCTTAAGGTGACATTTTGGACAATTTCATGCTCCCAACTTTGTGGGAAGAGTTTGGGGATGGCCCCTTCCTGTTCCAACATGACTGCCCACCAGTGCACAAAGCAAGGTCCATAAAGACATGGAGGAGCCAGTTTGGGGTGGAGGAACTTGACTGTCCTGCACAGAGTCCTGACCTCAACCCCATAGAACACCTTTGGGATGAATTAGAGAGGAGACTGCGAGCCAGACCGACCTTCATAAGACAGTGTGAGAAAAGACATCGTCCTGTGTACATCGGGAGCTGTGCAACTGGTGCTATTCTGACCACGTGCGTTACCTCGTTGGCTTTTTCATTATGGACAGCAAGCTAGAACAAAGAGCAAACGTGAAGTCTGCGTGAATTCAGCTGACAAATCTGCAGCAACTGTGTGCTGCTATCATATCAATATGGACCAAAATATCTGAGGAATGTTTCCAACACCTTGTTGAGTCTCTGCCATGAAGAATGAAGGCAGTTCTAAAGGTAAAAGGGGTCCAACCCAATACTAGCAAGGTGGGGCTAATAAAGTTGCTTAGGTTAAGGCAGCACAGTGCCTAAATGGTTAGCACTTCTGCCTGGCAGTACTCGGGTTGTTGGTTCAAATCCCAACCATGGCACTGCCTGGAGTTTGCATGTTCTCCCTGTGACTGCGTGTCGGTTTCCTCCCACACTTCAAAGACATGCTGGTAGGTTAATTGGCTGCTGTCTAAATTGGCCCTAGTATGTGTATGTATGAATGTGAGTTCATAGAGATTTAGATTGTATGCTCCTCAGGGGCAGGGACTGATGTGAATGTGCAATATATGTATGTAAAGCACTGCGTAAATTCACGGCACTATGTAAATACCATAAATAAATAAATGTTGTAAAAAAAAATATGAGATTATGCAAAATTTTCAAACGGTCTCTAAACATTTATGCATACGCAAATTTGGAGCTAGGTGCCTCGAATATACAATACATTGACAATTTCACATCCTTTTTTTCCTCCTGTACTCACCTGGGTGCTTCCATCTCCATAGCCGTGATTGTATGGTGAGTACAGATTTCTCAAAAAGTTATTTACTAAAACTGGAGAGTGAAAAATCTGGTTTTAAAGGATTTAAAGGATCTTCCCCTTCTTGTTGACAGGACAGAAACAGTAGGTGAAATTTCACATCTGAAGCCAGGTAGTGATTTAACCTGCCAATACCTATCCATGGATGAAATATTAAAGCTTTTTTTAAATGTATTTATTTTATTTTTATTTTTACACTGTCAGTTAATTTTTTTTTTACAGCAATAGGTAGTGACAGGCACTCTTTATCTGGGGTCAATAAGATCCCAAATCCTTCCTCTGCCCTTTAACCCCTTCAAGTCCAGACACTTTCACCCCCTTCCAGTCCGGACACTTTCCCCCCCTTCCAGTCCGGACACTTTCACCCCCTTCCAGTCCGGACACTTTCACCCCTTCCTGTCCGGACACTTTCACCCCCTTCCAGTCCGGACACTTTCACCCCCTTCCAGTCCGGACACTTTCACCCCCTTCCAGTCCGGACACTTTCACCCCCTTCCAGTCCGGACACTTTCCCCCCTTTCCTGTCCAGACACTTTCCCTCCCTTCCTGTCCGGACACTTTCCCCCCCTTCCAGTCCAGACACTTTCCCCCCCTTCCTGTCCAGACACTTTCCCTCCCTTCCAGTCCGGACACTTTCCCCCCCTTCCAGTCCGGACACTTTCCCCCCCCTTCCAGTCCAGACACTTTTACCCCCTTCCAGACCGGACACTTCCCCCCCCCCCTTCCAGTCTGGACACTTTCACCCCCTTCCAG